CTCTGAAGGGGGCTCTGATCAGCCACATGTGACCACGGTTCTTCCAGGAGAGCTGGAGCTGCTGTGGAGTGGAACAGGCCGCGCTGATTGCCTCCGAACGACCTCTCTCGCTCTGAATGACTCTGAAAGATGAATAATCTTGATGCGTCCTCGAGGTTCTCATCATCACCTGCTTTTCTGTGCTTTGTTCTCGCGCCGTGCGCCTTTTTTCATTCACTCCACTTACACAGCCTGCACAGTGGGGCGTTCTAGGAGACCAGGTGGGGTTTTCTAAAATAAGCACCAGGCCTATCTTGGGACCGTTATTTCCATCTCTCTGCATTTGGGGGCTTTTTTCTGCTCCTGTTCTTCCCCAATGGGACCAACAGGATCAGAGAGAGAGAGAGAGAGAGAGAGAGAGAGAGAGAGAGAGAGAGAGAGAGAGAGAATGGACATGCATTTCATGCATCATCATTTAATCCTTTAATCATCATTATCTTTTACTGAAGAAAGATAAGATCAAAAAAGAACATTGCCACTCTTGATATCTCACCAGTGACTGATCTATTTAGGCCTAATTGGCAATAGAACTGATATCACTGATAGGCCTTCAGACATGGTCAGTTTCACAGCCTGGCTAAACAACTTCCCTGTTAAAATAATGCATAAAATAACAATCCAGCAGTAAAAACTATTTAAAATTAATACAATATTCACAGGTTATATATTTACAAAGAGTATCTTCTGACCTATTCCAACCCAAAGCATTAATAGAGACAGTAATAAGCTATTATTATACAAAATCATCATTTAAAGGGTTCCTTCTCCTGGGAGGGCTTTGTCCCAAACCTTGACCCTTACACATTTTCTTAATCATTCACAGACTTTTAGGGTGATGTGAAGAACTAGATCTTATTGCTTACTTCAAGTAATCTTAAGCAAATGTTGCAAATGCATTTCACCACAAATGGCAGACTTTTTGCTTAATATAAGCATTTACATCTATTTTTCAATATATTTCTCTGGTTTTTGAGAACAGCTTTTGCGCAATTCACACATTAGATTAGCAACCAACATAATTACGGTTAATTATGCTTTGATTTGGGACCAATTTCATAAAAAAAACACCTTCTGGAAGTTCTAGATATGTCACTCACTCTGAATACGGGTCATAGCCTAAGCAGGTTCCAGGTAGTTGTTAGGAATGGAAAACAGCGGCAGCAGCTCAGGACTCTTTACTGAAAGAGTGAATAACTTATGTGTTAATGTCTATTAACAGCTTCAGATAAAACATCTGGAATGACTTACAAGTGTCATTCCTTCCTCTGGATTTGTCAATCTAGAGAACTCCAACTCCCAGAACTCTCTTGGAGATCACATGACTATTGATCCATCAACCACAGCCCACTGAGCGTTTTTTGTATTGCCTTTTTGTGTATCGGACTGTGTTTTCTGGATTATCGACTCTTCTTTTTGTCTCTGCCCCTTTTGATCTTGTTTGCCTGCTTTGTTATGTTTGTCTTTTTGTACTTTTGGATTGTTTTGGATCTGATCCATGCCTGTTTTCTGACAACGAGTCTGGATAACACTTTAACCAGATAAAGCCAACTACATCCGATCAGCAACTGATCAGTTCTGTCTTGTTACAACAAGCTTTAAATGTCTGTGTTTAATCTAGAATGGCCAAAATATGTTCATGTGCACCAGCGTAGCTCTGAGCTAACATATGATAAGACATCCCACAGGAGCAGATAATTAGCATTATTGAGTTTTGACATTTTTGGCCTGAACTGAAGGTCTAGCTCTTATAGTCACAGTTAACACAGTTGGTACACTCGATTTCAGAAGAAACACTAGAGGATCATGTGTCTTCAACCTTCTGGATGTGTACTGGACTTCCATGAAAACGATAACGTAGGTCATTTCACCCTCAGAAAAGAAAATGTTTCTCATCTGGAACTGTCCAGTGCGTAGATTACTGAACTGCGAGTGCTGCCTGTTCTACGCTGTGTTTAGATGTTCTTCTGTCTGAGTGGATTCCTCAGAAAACTGGGCTCATCTCGTGGCATAAGAGGTCACAGAGCGCAGCAGAACATTCCTGACAACAGCAGTTACCTCACATGGGAGTGATGAATCATGGGAGCTCTGGTATATTTCCCACTCAGCCTCAAATGCAGAAACATATTGACGTTGTTTTGAATACTGAACTGAAGCTCAGAGCGGCCGACGCCCTCTAGCTCATCATCAGTGCAGAGATTCCTGTGAGCTTTGCTTGTGAATTCCGTGTCATATAATGTTTGTGGACTCAAACTTCCTTTTTCCTGTAAGAAATGAAATGAACATTAAATGGAAGTGTTCCTATGGGAAACTGAATGGGAATGACACTCCAGTCACGTCCTTCGTCTCCAGTGTATCCGAAAAAAGCTTTTCCTGAAACACCGTCACGCTATTTCAAAACAAACCCCCAGTTACAGTATACAGGGTTTAGATGGCTTTTATAGCTTTTCCCACTGCAGAGCTCAGCGTCTGACTGAGAGCTTTAGGCTCTCTGATGCTCCATTTCTGGAGCCGGGCCGAGGCTGTAGTGACCCTAATGGTGACCCTACAGTGGGCAGGTTAATAGACTGACTATAAAACATACAGTGATAGCTGGAGTCTTAATGGAACATCCACAGACTCAGTGCTCAGACGGGTCAAATTAGAACCTACATTAAATTCTGTATGTCTAAAAGTCTGAAAGTAAAAGTGGTATTTTAGTGTCTTGTACAGCCCCCCACTGTACTCCCTCTTCACGCACAACTGCAAACCCATTCATGATTCCAACATCTTTTATTTTGCGGATGACGCCACCGTGATAGGCTTGATCTCCAACAGCATCAAGTCAGACAACAGAGAAAAGCTTGAGAAATTGGAGTGCTGGAGCCGGGACAACAACCTCGCTCTGAACTCAAAAAAACAAAAAACTGTTTTTGAATTTCAAGCTGAAACAAAACAGTCAACATCCCATCAGCATCAACAGCGAGAGGGTGGAGTCAGTTCAGAGTTTCACATCACATCAGCCAAGACCTGACCCGGTCCATCAACTCAACAGCGATGGCCAAGAAAGGTCTTCCGAGGCTTCACTTCCTGAGGAGCCTGATGGAAGCTCAACTCCCACAACTTCTACAGGAGGCCACAGAGTCCATCATCACGCACTGCGTTACTACATGGTACTCAGAGCACAGCAAGGCCCAGTACATCATTAAAGGCCCAGAGGATCACCGGCTCATAGCTTCTACCACTGGAAGAACTCACTGCAGCCTCAAATGAAAGCCAGCAGAGACCCGACCCACCCTGGGCACGGCATCTTCACCTCTCTGCCGTCTGGTAAGCTCTACAGAGCCGTTTTACCCAGTGCTGTCTCACTGCTGAACACACAGCGCTCACACAGCGCTCACTCCCCTCTTATAGCAGCAACACCGCTGATCACTGTGTCCCATAATCCTTATGAATAAGAGCCTTTCCTCTACTGTAGTTAGTGCACACATGCACTTTAATTAGAGCTGTACTGGACCTCAGCTGTGCTACTACACTGACACTTCTGCTCATCCTGCTCTGTGTGCAGTCCATTTCTAAAGGCCCTGACCACACTGTCCCAAACACCATGAACATAACGTGCAATATATCTCAGCACTGAGCCTGTTTTCCTTACTTATTTACCCCTCTTTAAATGCAGTAATTATTTATTCTACCAGGCCTTTAAGTGCAATAACTGTTTTATGTAATATTCCTCCAACGTTGCTCTCAGTACCAGACACTTTATTCTTTATTCTGTGTGTATATTTACTTTGTACATTTTGTTTGTTCCATATTTTTATCTTATAGTCTATAAGTGTGTTTATACTTTTATACTCCAAAGTTTTACCTTTAAATAAGCAGCACCTCATTGTACTTCTACAGTTTGTATTTATTTACCATTGATATTTTCCTACAGTATTTCCTGCAACATCTCAATTAAGAGCCATAATCCTTGGAAATAACGACTCTTCTCACAGTCCTGTTCAGGCGCACTCTGCACTTTAGTACATTCATTGTAAAGTACATAATGACTGAAAACATGTATTCACTGTATATACTGCTGTATTCACTATATATATCACACTATCCTCTGTACATGCCTCTGTATCCATTGTATTCACTGTATATAATGTATTTACTGTACACCATGCCATAATTCTTATGAATGAAAATCTTTCCTCTACTGTAGTTAGTACAGATATGCACTTTAACCTATTGCAAATATGCATACTATATGAAGATATTAACATATACATTCACTCAACTATATATATTTTCTGCTGTATCCGCTATATATGTCACTGCATTGACTATAAATGCCACTGTATCCCCTGTGTATGCCACTGTATACACTGTATACCATGCCATAATCCATATGAATAACAGTCTTTCCCGTACTGTAGTTATGCACTGTATGCAGTGTATGTATCACCATGTTCATTCGATGTACCAGCGTCCGCTGTATATACCACGGTATCTACTGTATATACCACTGCAATAAGTGCATATACCACCATATATACCACTGTGTCCACTGTATATACCACTGCAATAAGTGTATATACCACTGTATATACCACTGTACCTACTGTATATACCATTGTAATAAGTCTACATACCACCATATATACCACTGTGTCCACTGTATATACCACTGTATCTACTGTATATACCACTGTAATAAGAGTATATACCACCATATATACCAGTGTCCACTGTATATACCACTGTGTTCAGTTTATATACCACTGTATCTACTGTATACCACTGTATCTGCGCTGAACTCCCATTACACACACTGTGCATTGCCCTTAGACTGTTTGTGTGCTGTCTGTAACTTTTTTGTATGTATTTGATGTGATTTTAGGAGAAACTCCTTCCATGACTGATAACTTATCGAATCTGCAGGCTAAGCGCGCCTGGAGAAATAAACTCCATTACCCATAATGCACTGCGGGAGCGGGTCAAAGTGCAACTGTCATGTCTGCCTTGGAAACAGCTGAGGCAGGAGTGTGTGAGAAGTTAATGTTTATTAAGCGTCCCTGAGCGCAGTGTGAGAGTGCTGGGGCAGACGGAGTGGTCAGGCAATGCTGGCTGTATGAGCGGCTCTGCGGGGCTGGACTGCTGCGGAGGGCTCGGTAACCTGGACTACTCTCAGGTAACTTCAGCTCAGGGCGCCTGTAGAGAGCTTCAGTACCGCGGTGAACACAGACGGACCACAGAGACTCGCCTTCACTCGGGCTACGGCTCTAATTACTGTTCAGCTCGGGTTCCCTCCCTGTTCACCAGCTTCTTATTCCAACACCCGTTCCACCTTAAATAGTGCAGCAGTTAAATCTGACCATTTAAGATGGAACAAGAAAAGCCAACTTAAAGGGAAACTCCGACGATTTTTCAAAATTCTTGCATAATTAGATGGTTAAGATGTAAATAGAGCGGTTCAGAGCGGTTCAGAGCGGTTTGGTGTGAAACGCTCTGTTTTAGAGAAACTTACCGAGTCAGAACTGTTCACAGTGGTGGTGATAGGAACCAGACGTCCACCTCTAAAAGCTCCTCACAGAAAGTTCCTACAGTAAATGGTTATGAATTCACTGCCTGATGACTGAGACACTGTTTTATGATAGTTTTGAGAACTTAAACTCCATTCATGGTGGAGGGATACATGCAGGGCGCTGTGAGGCAAAATAGTCCCCAAAGAAAACTTATTATTTCAGATTTTCCACTATTTCCCATCATCAACATTCCATATAAACTCAGAAGACTCGTGTAGGTTCACTGGTGGTTCTGGATAGTAAATAAAATGTCTATATCTGTGTTGTAGTCATGGCGACCCCTGGTTCCTATCACCACCACTGTAAAGACATCTGAACCATTTCACACCAAACCACTCTGAATCTCTCTGTTTACACACTGAGTTATGCAGAAATTTAGAAAAATGGTGGAATCCCCCTTTAAGCTTAGTAATCGCTGGGTACTCCTATGGCACTGTGTGATACAGTGTGCTGTTTGGGTGCTGGAGCCAGTTTTTATAAGACTAGTAAAACCTTTGTATTGGCCCAGTCCCATTTCACCCCTCGCCCCTACCCCTCAGCCCTCCCCCTCCGTTTTGCGTGTTATCGTCTAGAGGTAGGCTGTCCCGATATCAGAGACGCTCCAAACAGACTGTTATGAGAAAAAAAGGAAAAACAGCAAGAAGGCTGAACAAGAGACCAGAGAGACCCACGAATGTGAGAATTTTCTGTTAAACGTTACGATAACCACTGTTTTATATTAGTTTAATGATGTTTCAGTGTATTTTGGTCCGTTTTATCATAACAAGCATAATAATCTCTAGCAGTGCTGACGACTCAGGAGCTAAATTTCCCGTTCCACCTTAAATAGTCCAGCAGGACTGAGGTGCCTAAATGTAACTGCTGCTCCATTTAAGGTGGAACGGAAAAATCTGAACAGGAAGCTGGTGAATATCTGACTTCAGCTTCATATCACTGAAGAATTAGGGGTGGGTGATAATAAATAATTGCCCCCCTCTTTGAAGTCACATGATCCCTAAATGTAACTAAAGCCCAGCAGTGAGGAGCTGAACTTTACCCTCCTCTGCTGTCACTGCAGACTGGCAGGGTCACCTACAGAGCAGCGCTGGTAGCTGTTAATGAAGTGATGCTCTTTTTATCTGAGGGGGTAAGAATGAGAAATGGGACGGGGCCTTTCACTGTGTGGTTTATTATTGTTATTAACTTTGTTCATTCTAATGTATTAACTTTATTAATTCATGCTGAATTTATTAATGATTACGTATTAATTTTATTAGTGCTAACTTTAATGTTGTTCATGCTAAGTTATTAACTTTATCAATGCTAATTCTTTTACTGTATTAATGTCAAATTATTATCTGGACTAATAACTGCTGGTCAAAACGACGATATTTATTGTTTTCTTGATAAATTACATCACAGCATACTTTCCTGATCAGATCATAGACATGGGCAGTACTACTGAACTGACTCACTACCTCACTGACTCACCGTCTTACTGACTGTCTGAATCACTGACTCACTGGCTTACCGACTTACTGCCTCAGTGACTCACTGCCTCAATGACTCTCTGACTGTCTGACTTACTGGCTCTCTGACTCACTAATTCTTTGACTCTGACTTTCTGACTCACTGACTCTGCCTCACTGACTCTCTCTAACTCTCTGATTCACTGACTGTCTGACTCTGACTGACTCACTGAGTCACATTCTCACTGACTCTCTGATTCTCTCACTCTCTGACTTACTGACTCTCTTACTCATTTACTTGCTGACTCTGACTCTCTGACTCTCTGACTTTGCTTTTGAGCTTAAGCGGGGAGTTTGTCACTGTCGCCAGTGTTTTCTGCCTTTCAGGGAACCCGGCCAAAAGATAATCCAGAGCTGTGTCGGAACATTAGAACGTTAGAACGCCTGTGTATGGGGTTAGTTTTGTGCCAGAAGTTTCAAAGAAAATAATAAAATCCACAAGCAAAATGTTTTTGACCGCAACGGAGGAGAGATCGTTCAAGATGTGGATACCAAGGAACTTAAAACCAGACGCACCTCAGCTCTGTTGATGTAGATGGGGGACCTGCACCTCGTCCCTGTAGGCCACCTCATCGTCACCTCTGATCAGACCGGTCAGACCTGGAGGGGATCCCTGTATTAAATGCTGAACCGCTGACAGATGAGCTTTCACAGTCCAGGTGGGTCAGTACAGTGTGACCTGTTGACCTGTTGCAGCGGTAGGCAAACTGGTGTGGGTCCAGTGTAGCAGACAGGCAGGAATTCAAATGAGAAAGAGCTGGTCTTTCAAAGCACCTGGAGGTGATGGAGGCGAGTGCGACAGGGAGGACGTCATTCAGAGCTGAAGCAGTCGGCTGCTTTGGTACAGTATAACGTAATCTGGACATTCAGATACTTTACGTTTCGCTTGTGGATTCTGTTACTTTATTTGAAACTTTTGGCACAAAATGAACTAAATAGCTCCGAGTCTGTCATCAGTCTTCACCACCGAGTCCGCCGAGTCCGCCGAGTCCACTCCCAGCCTCTGTGCTGAGTTCACATTCATTATATTTCTGTCCTGTGTGGGTGTTTATAATGATAGATGCTACAAAGGAAGTTCTCAGATCAGAGTTTATATTTAGAGTCACTAATAACAACAGTAAGTCTGTCACAGTGAGCAGCTCCATTCTGCAGTAATAATGCAGACTGTTAATGTTTCCTATTACAGACTAATCATCATAAACAAAGGCTGTTTCCCCACTTAGTCTCCCACTGTAACACAGCGTCCTCAGAAAGACGCGTTAGAACAGTTTGTCAGCGTCAATGTTTGTGCAGTTTATGCAGACTTACTGTCTGTTTGTGCAGTTTATGCAGACTTACTGTCTGTTTGTGCAGTTTATGCAGACTTACTGTCTGTTTGTGCAGTTTATGCATGTCTTTTTCAGACTTTATGCAGAATTTGTGCCGTTTATGTAGGTTTGGTGTGGTTGTGTGCAGTTTGTGCAGGCTTGTTGTGAGTGTGCAGGTTCAGTGATGATAGCCTGTTTGTGTTCCTCTCCTGGGGGGATGTCAGCTCCTCTCTGTTTCTGTAAACAAAAGCAGCAGGTATCTGAAAGGCTGCTTTGTTGTGCTCTGATGGTCTCTTATATTGAATTGCGTCATTAGACTGTAATTCACAGCGTAGCGGTGACATCCCTGCAGGCTGTAGGCTTCTCCACACATTAGGGTAAGAAAGTAGCTGAGTCACTTTTAGGAAGGAGTCTGTTTTCTTTAGACGATACGTCTGAACTTCATGTACGTTTGTATTAAAGGGAAAAAGTCACAGCAGTAAAGCTTTCAAACTCATCTTTAGATTTAAAGGAGCAGTGAGTGATGTTTATTACAAAAATGAAACGCTGGGTTTAAAAGTGACTCATTGTCTTTAAGTTTCTTTCAAACGTAGAGTCACCTGAGACGACGACTCGGATTCCTTCGTGGGCGTGTATGAACCACTGTGTCAGAGCGATGCGCAGGTCCAGGCGGGCAGTGCCGTGTTTAGATCGTGTGACAGCAGCAAAACACAGGAGACCTGTGTCGGCAAAGAAGCACACACTTAAAAAAAGATGGTTCTGTATAGCACCAAAAAGGGTTCTTCTACTGTCACAAGTTTCACATCATTAGAACAGAAGAACCCTTTTGGTGCTCAGGGAGAGTAAATAACTGGCTCAGCTGTCAATCAGCGTCAACTGTCAGTGATCACAAATACAGAATGATTTACATTTGAGGTCAGAAGCAGCTGGATTTCAAGCAAACTGCGTAAAGCTGCTTGAGGCATGTGGTGGCTGTTACGTGTTGCTTGGACAGATAACAGTTACTGTCTAAAGTAGCGCTGGGCAACAGGACATCATCATCAGCATCATGATAAATTATGTCACAATACAAAGCATCATGCTTTCCTGAACATGTCGTCTATCGTCAGTGCTTGTAGACGCTGACCAACTGCATGTTTCATTATAAAGAGAGCAAAATTAGATTTAGTGCCAAAAATGGAATAAAAATCGTGTTTACAGTATTTTAATAATGCAGCTCTACTGGCTCTTTTTTCTCTGTTCCAGCTGATCAGACGTCTGAATAAATAAATATCCTGACATGTCGTGTATCGTGAAAATAGAAGTATCACAATATTAGATATTTGCCGTATCACCCACCCCCAGTCTAAACTGGCTGTGAGAACAAAACAGAATCTAGAAACAAACTCTCCTCGTTCGCCCCCCCCTCGTTCCTCAGGTGGCTGCAGGTGGACTGATCTTCTCCTCTTGTTCTGCAGGTGGACTGATCTTCTCCCCGTTCAGTCTTCTGCTTTTGTCTCTCAGGTGGACTGATCTTCTCCCCTTATTCTGCAGGTTTACTGTTCTCCCCTTTGTTCTGCAGGTGGACTGATATTCTCCCCTTTGTTCCGCAGGTGGACTGATGTTCTCCCCTTTGTTCTGCAGGTGGACTGATCTTCTCCCCTTTGTTCTGCAGGTGGACTGATCTTCTCCCCTTTGTTCTGCAGGTGGACTGATGTTCTCCCCTTTGTTCTGCAGGTGGACTGATCTTCTCCCCTTTGTTCTGCAGGTGGACTGATGTTCTCCCCTTTGTTCTGCAGGTGGACTGATGTTCTCCCCTTTGTTCTGCAGGTGGACTGATCTTCTCCCCTTTGTTCTGCAGGTGGACTGATCTTCTCCCCTTTGTTCTGCAGGTGGACTGATGTTCTCCCCTTTTTTCTGCAGGTGGACTGATCTTCTCCCCTTTGTTCTGCAGGTGGACTGATCTTCTCCCCTTTGTTCTGCAGGTGGACTGATCTTCTCCCCTTTGTTCTGCAGGTGGACTGATCTTCTCCCCTTTGTTCTGCAGATGGACTGATCTTCTCCCCTTTGTTCTGCAGGTGGACTGATCTTCTCCCCTTTGTTCTGCAGATGGACATGTCTGTGCTGTCAGAGGTGGTGAAGCACATTGACGTGATGCAGCCCCGCTTCTGTGTGGCCGTCATCGCCATCATCTTCAACCCTTTCTTCTGGAACGTGGTGAGTTCCAGCACTGTCATGTGGAACTGAGCGCCTAGCTGTAGCTCTGCATTAGCGCACAGCATGTTAGCGCTGATTAGAATGAGAAACGGTGGGCGTGTCTTCTTTTCACTTTTAATGTGAAATGGATTTACTGTCTGTCTCTCTGTCTGTCTCTCTGTCTGTCTCTCTGTCTGTCTCTCTGTCTGTCTGTCTGTCTATTGTAAATAATTTCGTAATTGTCCTCTGCCAGAAAACTGCTGTAGATCACTGTAACTGCTCTCCTATCGTGTCCTCATCTCTCACTGTGCTCTTTATCTGGATGTAAAGATGTATATGGATATTCTACCAAATGAGTTCAGACTCATAGGAAAAACCTGCTTAAAAAACAATGAAGTATTCAGAGCTTAGATATTTATAAGAATAATGTTATCGTCTATTTACAACCAAGGCATTAACAGGGTACTTCCTACTGGGAGGAGTCTGTCCCAAACCCTAACTTCCAAATTTACACTTCTGAAATTAATACTTACATTTTTTGATTGTTTGTTTCTTTAAGAAATACAATATAAAAAACCAACCTTTACTTTGAAAATGCTGTCCTATATTCTGTCACTACCAAAACAGTTTTAGTCTGTAGGCGGGGCCTTGTTTTAGCCCCGCCCTTGCATTTTAGAGCAGGAAGTGAGGCTGCATCCCTGTCCCTCGTGGCCACATGGTGAGCAGTTAGATCCCATTGTTTTGAAGTAAATGTGTCCCAAAGTCTGAAAATCAGTGTGGAACATTAAGAATCGCCATATTTTCTGCAGTTCAGCACTTTTTAGTGTTTTAATGAAAAATATGATGATTTTCTGTGTGAACAGCTGTTCAGAGCTGTGTTTGCTGGTCTGTACTGGCTGAGTTTCTGAGTTAAATAAGCTAAAATTGTCACTGAAACAGACACTACTGAAACAGACACTACTGAAACATTTACAGTTTGGTAGAGTTATGATTGTTTTGGAATGTTCAATCATTAGTTTTAATACAATAAAGATAATTAAGGTTTAGAGTCACTCAAAGCAAAAGGATTTTAGTCTAAAGTCCAAGACCAGTTGAAAGTCCCAAATGAGTTTCAGCTCTGACTCTGAAATAGTTCAATAGAATAATTTATATACAGAAAAATAGAATTTTAGACAACTAAATTATCTTTAAACATACAATAAATATTAGATCTATCTTCAGTGATCTGTCTGTAACATGACTGACACAGAAAAGCAGCAGTGCTGGGTGTTTAAAGCAGCAGTAGTGTGAAAAATAATGAACACTGCAATAAACATTTGTTGGTTGTGATATAAATGTATGATTTGGCATTGGGGGTGTTGTTTAAGGAGCGTATGGAGTTGACATCATGGGATGAGGGTTTAAGGAGCAGGTGGAACTGACAGCATCATTGGTTGTTAGATAAGATAAAGGAAGAAGGCGTGCAGTTCCAGCGCGGTCCCGAGGGAACACGCAGAGGCCTGGTGCATGTTCCCACTCTGTAATAAGGGAACATGGTGTTTCCCTCCTGTTTGGCCCTGTTTTCCACTCGAGACGTCCTCGTCTGTGCCACCTTTTCATTCACAGAGAGCTCAACCTTCAGCCTGGGCATCATTAGGACATCGTGGGTTGTACTCTGCCTAATGGAGCAGACCTGTGACACGCTGTGTGTACACAAGAGTGGAGTTATTACCTCATCAGAGGTTTTTGAGTGCAAATGAAACCATGTTTAGTCAGAGTCACATATTTACAGTCCGTAAGTGAAGACCATGGGCAGAGATTAAGCCCAGCCCTAGACTGCACAGCATTTGGAATAGAGATTCTCAAATAAAAGGAAAATGTGCTCTAGGACTAGACTTAACCCTGACCAAGACGACCCTGTAGTAGGCACACCAGTGTTAATACAGGTGGAGATTCTAAACAAATGAACAAACAGTTATTGACGGTGTTTGAAGTTTCAAATATTTGGGAGTTTGAGTCGATGACAAGCCAAGTTTTTTAGGCACTTTGTTTTATTACTAGGACTCTGGAGCTTCGGCAGTAATCAACAGTGAATGTTTGAAGCTTTGCCTCATGGGGGGGCGGGGCTTGAGAAAGTCGTTCAGAAAATTTACATCCAAAGCTGGCTGCTTTCCTTGCAGAGCGCTGCAGCACCCACAGTACGGCTTAGCCCCGCCCACCAGGCCTGCTAGCCTCTCTACGTGGCTGCCTGGGGGGTAACAGCACAGCACACACACAGGTTCCCCAGAGCTTCACAGCAATTAAAAAGGATAAATATAGTCCAAGAACGTGCAGACAGAACGTGCAGACAGAACGTGCAGACAGAACGTGCAGACAGAACGTGCAGACAGAACCTGCTGTTGCGTTGCTGTGCTGCATTGTAACCAGTTCAGTGTATTAAAGAGAAAGAACTGTTTCTGTTGGGCTGTTTCAGGACTTTTATGTTGAAGAGCCTGAATGTGGGGGCAGTGGTGGGTTTTCTGGAGTAGAGCAGAGTGTTTTAGCTGTTGGCGCTGGAGAGGCTGGGTTTCTTCTCGCCGTGTTCGGAGCTGTTTTCAGCAAATTAAAAATAAAGCTGCGTTACGGACAGAAACCTCGAGACGTCCGAGTTCCTCCTGAGAACCCTGATCGGTACAGTGTTCTGCAGTTCACCTTTATTGATCACCAACATTTAGCCAAAAAATAACATCTGAACCCCAAAATTCTGTACCGAAGCCCGTACCTACGTATAGAACATATATCCGGTTGACCGAGTTACCGCCCTATATTTACCCAACATTTTGTAGTTTATGGTATGTCATATAGGGCTAATATAAGTTTGCTGAAAGATGTTGTGTAAAAGACGACCAGCACTAGCTCATCTGAAGGGGCAGCCTCGGTTCTCCTAGCGTGGGCTAGAGGGGTATAAAGCCCTCCAGCATTGGGCTGTGGAGCAGTGGAACTGTGTTCTCTGGAGTGATGGAGCTCCATCCAATACCTTTGGGATGAGTTGGAGTGGCCCAGAACTGACCATCCAACATCAGTACCTGACCTCACTGATGCTCAATCAAATCCTCACAGCCATGTTCAACATCTAGAGCCTTTCCAGGGGAATAGAGGCTGTTACTGCAGCACAGACTCACTATTAACACCTTCATTTCAGAAGAAACTCTGCAGATGTTTGGACGGTTGGTGGATAACAGTGGTGAGCAGTGCTGGTTTGCTTCACTGGCTTCTTTCCCTGTACGTAATGTGTGTAATTGCCAGCGGGGCTGGTGATGTTTCCTTCCTATGAGGCGTATTTGGGACACCACACCACAGGTCCTCACTCTCCTTCTGCTCCTCTGGGATTGTTACAGCATCTGTTGACACACTAACTCTGCCCACTCTGTCTTTTTTGGATATTTAGGTTTTTAGGACAGGAAGTGACCATGTGAGGCACCGCGAGTCTGGCAGTGATGGTCACTCAGCGATGCTACCTCCGCTAAGCTGGCCACACAATAGAGAGTGAGACAGATCTGTCACAAATGAATGAAGCTCTTCGTTCAGTGAGGTTACAGATCCATAAATGGTTTTATTGTTTGATTAGCCTCGTTCTGTCACTCGTGTTCGCTGCTCCTCATTACCGTCTCTGTCGCGGTGAGGCGCATATTTACCGTTTGTCTTATAAATGTCTGCTTTTTAAGCGGTTTAAATGTGAACTCTTTGTCCATCCTTTGATAGAATGCACAGTATTTGTGGCTGCGACAGAGAGATAGTGGCTGTTTTTCCTCAGTAAGAGATGCTCTGTGTTTAGTCTGTTTAGCTTAATGCCCAGGAATATCACTACATCAGTTAGTTGTAATGTGACGAAACCAGCCAGACACTCTCAGGTAAAAACAGAAAAGAGGTTTTACTAGTTAGAACACAATCTGTACTCTTGGTCATTAAACATGCGTAGGTCAAATCCAAAGTCAGCCTGATACAAAAACAGAACAAAGACAGGAGCAGACAAACTCGATCCAAAAAGGGGAAGGAAAAAGTCGCAAAGTCCAAAAACACAGACAGAAAGTCGGGAAATCAATCAAACACAGGATGGAGCGCCCAGTAGCTGTAGTGAAAGAAGCGACCCCTCACAATGACTGAACTAAAGCCCAGGCGTTAAATACTATCAATCACAGGTCATATGATCACATGGCAAACAAGACAGGTGCACCAGATTAGTATTCAGGGGATCGATGATTGGCTGTGGATGGTGGTGTGACAATCAAATGATCACCAAGGGAGTTGTGTGACCTTTGTACAGTACAGTGCAGGTTACATGAGGGTTGAGCAGAATCATGACCTGGAACCTACACTAGGGTTCTGTTTGTGGAGTTCAGCTCAGCCTTCCCATCCCAGATCCCATCTGACAGTGGACCATGGACTTCCTGACAAACTGGAGGCAGCAGGTGCGGATAGGAAAACACACATCAGACCTCCGGATCTTCAGTACTGGAGCACCACAAAGTTCCGTGCTCTCACTCCTTCTCTTCAGTCTCTACACCAACGACTGTGTCTCTAAGGAACCAGCTGTGAAGATCCTGAAGTTTGCAGATGACACGGGTGGTGGGATTCACAGCCAATGGGAAGGAGTCTGACTAGTTGAGTAGCTGGTCTCCTGGTGCAGCAGCAACCACCTGCTGCTGAACACAGAAGAGATGGTGGACATCTGGGGCACCCCCCCCAACCCCCTCATCATCAATGGCTGTGTAGCTTCCACTGTTGAGTCACTCAGGTTCCTGGGCACCACCATATCCAGGGACCTGAAGTGGGAGAGGAAAACGTCTCCAACCCCAAGAAAGACATTTCTGGCACTTTCCTTGAATAGAGTTCATTTTTTTCTTTTTAAAAGCAATACAATGTCTGTTGTTTTTCTGTAAAAAGTGAAGAGAGCGTTAACTTAAAATAAACTTATTATAATTATACACAACAAATCTGTATCCACATTTAATATGGTGATTCTGGGCCCACCTCACTCACACTGAACTTCTTTATGAAATTAA